CTCGATTGGCAAGAGCCATATTCGTCCTGTGCAACTGAACTGAACTGAACTGAACTGAACGTCCTGGAACTGAACTGAACTGCTGATTGCGCTACACCAGCTTCTTTCTCGGTGTAACGCGCAATCATACGTACAGTCTCCCTGTGAGTGGGTTGAATGCCCGTCTTGTCTTGTTATATTTGTAAACCATAATTGAGAATTCTGGTCCTAATTGGGAAATAAAATTTTTGACTTTAGTTATTTTCTCAAGGATTAGTACCCAGGCTACTGTTGTTCACCAGTTCAGTTCGGAGATCCAGGACGGCGAGATGCCAAATTTGTCCAGTTTCTTGCTCTTGTGGGCTGTTGGATCCTCCAGTGCTTCGACTTGACGACGGTAAGGTCTTCAGGGAATTGTAGATTCTCTGTTATCGTGCTCCGTGTAAGCTTTTGTCACAGACTTGCACGCATACAAAACTCAAAAAAAATTAGTTGTTAGTGCAGTTTGAAGAACACCCCTGTGATGCAACTTCTCTGGTGTTCTTCATTACTCGCCAAATATGTTACCCCACGCTCTGCCAAGCTGCAGCTTGAATTGTGTTACCGTGTCGACTTCTATTACTTTGCTCGGCAGTTTATTGCATTCATTAACCACTCTTGCTACAAAGAAGTGACTTCTGATCTCCAGTCTGGATCTCTCCTTCTTTAGCCTCAAAGCGTGTCCTCTAAGTGTTTCGCTATCTTGAGTCTCGAATGCAAGTTTCTTGGATGTAACACACCGATGGCTAGGGTTTCAAGCGTACAAGCTAAACTCGCCTGTCATCCGATACGCATCAGAGTGGCCAGTTTGAAAGGACATTGAGGGCGAAGAAAAGTTTCAGCTGGTGGAAGATTCGGGGAGACTTGGATACTAGTCGTGTTGGGACGATTGGAACCAACAGATACTTTTCCCTGACCCGTGTATCTTTCAGGTTTTCGTCTAAGTTTGCTACTTTGTTCTTTTTATAAACAAACTGACTGTCCGGGCCGGAGTTCGAATGTGCAGGATTATTAGTTGTGAAAAATTATCCATCAATGATCCAACCTTTTTGCCTTCGCTTTTCGGCTATGTAACGGCTTTAACTGGTCCCTCTAAAACAGTAACCGAAACCGTGGAAAGTCCGATGTATTTTGGAAGCGTCTAAATCCAGGCTGTGCCGAATAAATCATAGTACAATGAGCTTTAAAAAAAGAGAAAGTTCCATGAGTATTTTTGGGGCGAAATACTGCCAGGTTTCCCGGGCCAATGCAGGTGAATTTTCTTGAGGAATTCACAACCACAGTCTTCGGCTAGCCAAAGCCTGACCCACAAAGCAGCGGGGCGGTGTGTGAAAACCGCGCTCCGTTGCGGGTTGCTGTTCAGTACATCGTATCATACGCCCGTTGGATTGGTTCAAACGTCCAAGGTGTCCAATACACTTCGATATCCAATGAAGCCGGTGACCTCTACCACAACCAGAAAGGTGTAGGCATGTGGTCTATACTCCTCTTATTGTTCGGTTTGGAATCAGGGTTTTTAGCCAGATCCCCTAGGTGAACTGCCGGTGGTTCACCGACCCGGTTATAGCTTGGCTTTTTGTCCTACTGGTAGGAAAACACATCGGCCACGAGAAGGCAGTGAGTAGGGTTTCCTCAGCAGAGGTTGTTCGAGATGCTTGATCGTTTAGGAGAAAGGGAATAGTAGCCAGCTACAACCCAAGACACCCACCCCGACCATATTGACGCTTTCGGAGTTCAAATAAGTTCAAGGTATTGCTTTCATGTGCGGAAAACAGTATTTGAAATAGAAAAGAGGATGTCTTTTGCGAGTGAAAAAAATATACCAAATCCGCAATCGTTTCTCACCAAACTGACTTCTTATCCTACTTGATTCCATTTTTCGGTGACTCCACCATGATCTCTAATGTTTTGTTCGGGGTTATCTGTCAGTTCTAGCTAGCTAAGTAGACAATCTTTCTCCTGCTTTCTGTTTTTCGATATGAATACGCATGATTCATTTTCTTCTGATGAATCACCTGGGTCCTTCGTCTTACAAAATCTGTGCTTTGGAGGAGCTTGGCATTTTTTCCACGAAGTGTTTATTACCATTTTATTTTACGTGTCCAGGCCAAGATTGTTGGCCAAACACACCACGGGAGAAATATTCCTTCCGTGATTTACCACTTTGCCCAGGGGATTCAAAACCGGAGTCATCTAAGAACGGGAACTGCTACTGGATGTATCACGTTTGCAAAACTAAATATGTAGGATTAAGAGAAAAACTGTAATCACGAATGCTTGCGAAGCTTCTGATATCATGCGATCTCATTGGTCTTCTCCCGCTTCAGCTCTCTAACGATGACATTAAATCAGCAGCAAAAAAAGGTGATTGATCATCTTACTCAAATTGAGGAAGTTGGTGAGTTGATTCTGGCCAAACAGGAACAGTGCGTTTCTTGTGATCGGAGTCGTCAAAAAACACGGGAGGCAATTCGTGCCCTAACTAAACTGGATGGCTCGAACAAGCAATGGGCTTGTTTATCCAATCAATTCTTCCTTCTTCCTCGTGAGCCCTTGATCACCGCTTTACGAGAAGATATGAAAGTTTATGATTCTGAGATTGAGAAGACTCGACAGCAGATAAAGGAGGACATGCAGCTACTCAATGAATTGGAAGAAAAGGAGCCTTTGAAAGGATTTGATCTGATTGCTTTGTCCAAGGCTGATATCCCCGTATGACTCAAATCGAAATGAACTCCAATATGAAAAAAGAGTTGTGCAAATATAGCATTTTCACTTTAACCTGTTCTTTTTTCATGTATATGTTGACAATAATAAAATTTCTGCTTTGTAGCAAAATGTCAAATCCGGTCGGAGCTGATTGTTCCTCACCTTACTCGTCTGCCCATCGCCGTTATAATCCGTTATCGGGAGATTGGATAATTGTTTCGCCTCAGCGTATAACTCGTCCATGGGCCGGACAGGTCGAAGATGTCAAGCGTCCGCACTCTGAAATAAAAAGTGAAGCCAATAATGTGGCGATAAATCCTCTTTCCCCTGGTGCATGCAGGTCCAGTGGCGCGGTGAATCCACTCTATACAGATACATATATGTTTCCCAATGATTTTCCTGCGCTGGTAAAGTTTATTATGTTCATTTGCTTATGGTTTCTTATTATTTCTCGGTTTAACTGATTGGTAAATCACGCTAGGTTCGCAGTTACTTTGGCCTCACTCAGATTTAACGGTATAGGTTTATACTTTCCACATCATTTTGTCTCCATAATCCCAGTGATACCGAAAGTAAACACTATCAGGGTTACTAGTAATTGGAATTCTAGTTGTTAATTTTGCTCATCTCATATTTATTTGTTAAAACACGTGATTTTCGTCGTACTTTAATTTTGGACGCTTCATTTTAGTTATGCTTCATATTACAGAGTAAACGCGAACTGTTTGCCTACCGCTTCTGTGCACGACAGTTGACGAAGAAAACTAGAAGGAAAACTAAAAAACGAGTCCTTCTTAACAAAAGTGACAGTGATAAGAGGAGAGCAAAAAACTCAACTGAAATAACTTCTAAAATTTAAACTTTGTGTCTTGGTTATTAATTAGTTGTGTGAACTTCCATCAGACCCGTTGAGAGGAGTGAAATGGATAAAACTTTCACCCCCTTATGACTTCAGTAGTCAACACTGATGCGGATTCCAGCTGGGTACAATAAGAGATGCAGTGTCCAAAAGATCTTCCAGTCCAGAATAGAAAGTCGGTATTACGCGCAGTGCGGGAAGTTTTGAATAATGTGGACGTGTGAGAGAGAGAAATGAATCACTTGAATAAATGCAAGTTTTGTGTATTACAAAACGATTGTCCCACATGTGAACTCTCGTCCCCGTGTGATTAAGTGATCAGAAACTTTGTGAAAATGACTACAACCGAAGGAAATACACGGATTTCTTCCTTTTAAATGTTCCCTGGATTTCCAAACCAAGGGTTATCCAAATCCAGATCCAGCAAACAGCGAATCACACTAATCCAAATCCGCCATGGATGTGTGGTTCGCCTTATCTGTTGTTCATTGCAAAAGAGTATGCGCATTGGTGTACACAGTGGATCTTGAGAATATGACAATAAGGCCTACTTTTATCCGTATTGAACACAAATGTTCGTCTTTTTCCTTATCGGTTTTTCAAGTGCACAGAAACCATAACACCAACTGGGAAATGCTGTCAGAGCTAACCGAAATGTGACGATATGGTATCTCTAACTTTGAAAATGGACCGTATAACTTTCTCAAGTCCATCGTGAGCTTTGTTCAGTGCTCTATGTTGATTGAACCTCGGGTCATAAGAGGGCTAGTCCGACGTGATCGTGTTGAAGCATCTATCTCGTTTACACACTGATAAAGTTAGAGCTGCGTTTTGAAGAACCAATTCATCATCATCATCGTACGAGATACAGAGAATCAAGCTTTACTGATCGCTGCCAAGCTCACAATGTACAAAAATCGAATGATAAAGCTCAATATTGAGGGGGATTGGGTCTAATTGGAGAGAGGTGAAGAAAGTGAACTTCTATGGTTAGCACACAGACTACACGATCTAAATGTGCATACATACCTTTTCAAGCATTCTGACCTGACAAGAAATGACAACAAGAACGACATTGCTGTCGGTTAGTCGCCATATCCTCCAGTGTCTCCAATCAACCAGTTGCAGAGTCCTTCGGACCCCAACCTAGAAGATGGGAGACACCGATTCTACCTACTCGCTCTGTGCATTTCTTCATGTCTCGTTTCCACGTCATCTGTTGACCTCCACGAGGTTTCTTCCATCCTGGAGCCGCAACTGCGAATAAGGCTCGGTGCGGCAGACGATGACTGGGCTTGCGCAATACGTGTCCTACCCAGCGAAGCCGGCTAATCTGAATTCGATGGGACAACGAATAACCAATCCAACATCTGATTGCTTACATTCGTCTTATCCGTCGAGGTAGTTTCATTTATTGCCGTCTTCTGTCAAAGTTAAAACTCAATGAAGTAAACGGGTTAACGCTCCACCAAATGCAAGCCCATTTCGAGTGTTTGAAAATACTCTTTTCACATCTCCCATAAAGGGATATATATTTGGGTTCTTGGACATCTTGGACGGTCATCGCCCTGATTGCAGTAAGTGTGATCAATATGTTGGATATGATAAGCATGTTACACTAGTTCTAGTGACCAACTTTCAAAATAACAGCTTGTGTTTGCTTTTTTAAATAGGTTATTACATGGTGTTCAGTTGTTCGCCCAGTTTGGCAATTGTATTGCAAGCTCGGCGAACAACTGAACACCAAGTTATACTACCCGAGCTACAAAAACAACAATTAACACCGTTGTTTACAAAACTGTCATCTGGTTATTATATCTATGGGTTTACATGTCGACGATTTTTTATTGGTTGAAAAATAAGATTCAATGGTGAAATGTCCTATTGAATGTTGCTAAATTAATTCGACGAAACATACGGAGATAAATAAGATTGCGTTGTGCAGATTGCTGAATTTGAATTCAACGCTTGTCGATACAGACAGTGATTGAAGATAGAAAGTGACCAATAGTTCATGCATGAGCTAATAAAAATAGGAAAGCTTCACTCGTGCGCTGTGCTCTTTCCTATTGGAGCCAATTGAATCAGTCCAGGCCCATGTTTCCAAAACCAACACATGTAGGTTTAAGGTCGCTAAGATAACCGTTTTCTCGGTCTTATATGAGCAACCATAGACAGGAACGAAACCTAAACTGTACTGTTGTTCAGTTTAACGACTGATCACATTGTTTTTATAAAGATCATTATACTGTGATTTGTTTGGTACAGTCTGAACTATACATGTGTATATTTTTTTCATATTTGTATTTCACACGTCTGAGTTCAGATTGTGTGCTAAACAGATCGCGGTACGCTAATCTTTACAAATAGAAAAACGTTCCACGATGTGCATGTAGGCTGAATGCTGCCAGGTTGCCCAGGCAGGTAAATTTTCTTGGGGAATCCACAACCAGAACCTTCGGCTAGCCAGAGCCTGACCCGCAAGGCAGCGGCGCGGCGAGCAAAAACCGCAATCCACTGAGAGCTGGTGTCCAGTTCATCGGATCATACCTCTTTCGGACGGGGTCAAACGTCCAAGGTGCCCAATACGTCTCGATGCTCAATCGTGCCGGTCATCGTTGCCACAACCAGAAAGGTGTGTGGTTCGTACGCCTCTTGGTTGGTTGGTTTGGAATCCGGGATTTTGATCAACTCCTCTAGGTTAACTGCCAGTGGTCCACCAACCCGGTTATAGCCCCGGATGTCGGCTTTTCGTTCTCTCACTTTGGTGGGAAAATACTTCCTCCACGAGAAGACAGTATATGGGGCTTCCTCAGCACAGACTTTTTGAGACGCTTAGTCGTACGGGAGCATTTCTAGAGGTGCAAGGGAAGGGTGACCAAGCGCAACCCCAGAGACCCACCCCCGGCCATACTGAAGCTTTTAGAGGTATATATATTATCATACACTACTTATTATGATATATATGCAATCATATATCATATCATTAGTGTATAATTGACCAGACAAAATTTCAGATTCACGTGATCTCGGAAACGTCTCATTTTTCAAGTACTCATTGCCGGGGAAAACTTAAATATACTGTTTTTGATTTCCAAAAATGTAATCTTCAGGTTACTTGGTGCTTGTGTCCATGATTTTTCAATCATTATGTTTGTGTATAGAATATCGCACCGTTCGATCCGGCCGAGGATGTTCGAATGAAACAGGATTCACTAAAGAAAAACAAGCTGTTCGCCTGGACTCCTGCGCACGGTCAATGCAGTGTGATGTGCTTTCATCCGCGATCAGATTTGACTCTGGCTTTGATGAACCAAAATGAAGTATTACGAGTAATCCAGGCCTGGTGTAAGGTTACAAATGAGTGTCGGACTAAGAAGAAAGGTTGTCGCTGGTTGCAAATATTCGAGAATCGGGGAGCTGCCGTTGGTTCTTCCAACATGCATCCACATTGTCAGGTGAGATCGTTAAGCACAATTGGTTTGTTTTGACAATGTTTAACTTTTGACGATGCTTGTTCTACTTTCATGCTTCAAATCATCCGTTTTGGTACCCTCCTTTCTGTCAATCGAACTGTTGAGTTGCTTAAAGGCGGATCTGAGAAAAAAAAACAGAGGACACGTGTGACAGCGCATAGTGGGAAATTGTACTGGTGCAGTTCACTTAAGGTCATTTAAAGCACTATAATAAGATAAGTAAAATTTCAAAGATGTTTCCCTAAAAGAGCACTGTCACCCTCGTTTACCGATGTGGTTGTGTTTACGTTACTGTCACTGGTGACCGCCTGGGAAGACAGGTTTCTTGTCATGACGAGGTGAGATTATCTTGTACCTAGTTATTTCAAGAACGGCGTGAGTAAAAACTAATTATGGTTAATAAATAGTTGAACCTTGTTGGTTCTTATAAGTCTGCAACATGGTGTTGAAACCGTGTTTTGGTATACCTTAAGATTACAGTTTTGGTGGAGGGTCCGAATCGGCACCCTCTAAAGGGCGAAATTCGTGGTGATGAAACGGGCTACAATGTAATGGTCAGTGGTTGAAAAGTGGATCTTAAGGACGGAGCGGCCACAAGACGAACGGTTTTACTTGAAACACGTTTCCCATTGCCCAAGGAGAAGATGCGTCTCCACCGCAGACACGGCTGCAATATTCCGTAGTGGGACCATCTGGACCTTGAAAAGAGGTGAACAACCGTTTCATGCGGAAGGTGTGACAAGTATTCCTGGACGCACGCAATGCAAGTTCAACAATCCGTACCGATGAGGAAACTAGGATGCCAAGTTGAGCTGCAGACGAGGAAAAAAGTTAATAAGAATCAGCATGTAGATTTGGTGCATAGGTATTACGTTGGCGATATATAGGCAAACAACAGGTTTTGGTGACATTAAAAACGGCTTCAGTTTTCGGTCCCCATGACACTGATATATGAATTAATTGAGGTGGACTCGGACAATCGGTCTCAAGCGTTGACGATAGACTAAGCTCGGAAAGTATTGTAAGAGGGATAACGGTGTAGGGTAGCATCATGGACGGAGGCATAGATAAGATCATGAGTTTAGGTGAAAATGAAATGGTATAAGAAGTTGAGATAGTACGGAACCTTGGGGATCGCCGACTCCGCCTAGGTTGTACTTGCTCCGACAACACCAGCCGAGAGCGAGCAACCACAAAGGAAACTTCGTCGCGGAAATCATAACCTTCATTTTATCCGTCCGTTCCAGCTTGTGAGACAAACTGCTTTCACTTATGCATTACACTGTTCGATGTTTTATGCTGTGCTCCAGATTCTTGATTAAAAACTTTGATGGTCTTCTTCTCTCTCACCGTATTTAATATTACTTCTGTCCCAATTGGACCTTGTATGGTTCGCTCAAGCAAGCTTCAGGGTTTGGGTTTTCAGATCCCTTTTGACCCTGCGCCTCACTCTTTCCGTCCATTGCTTAGCGTGTTGTGCAATCAAATGCGGTGGTCGGCGGGGGCAATCCTGTAGAGGGCAGTTACTGTTCATCGAACGTTCTGATCTTCAATGCTGAGGTGGACTCAATGAACGGGATAAGTCTTCAAGGAAACAAAACGTGGTTATTGGCAGTGGTAAACAAACGGAGTTCCTCGATTTCAAGCAGGATGCGCGATGACAGAGTAACGTGTACAATGTATCGTTATGGTGCCCTATCTACACATGAAGTTTTATGCAAACCGTTTCACAATAATTGCCATATACAAAAAATAATACAGATACTTTAGACCATGGAAGCTACCCATACTCATTTTTCATTTATCAGTTGCCAACGTAGAACGCTGAGTGATACAGATCCAATACAGTTTATATATATATATCATCATCGTACAGCGAAATACACTGAAGCGAACTTCGCTGATCGCTGCCAAACTCGCAATGTATACAAGGTTAGTGGTAAAATTTAAGATGGACAGGGATGGGATCTATTTTGATGGAGGGGAAGATAAACCTCCATGGCCAACACAAAGAACTGCATACATACTGTTTCAAGCATTCTGGCCTGGTGAGAAATGACAACAAGAACACCACTGCTGTCGGTTCGCTGCCAAATCCTTCAGTGTCTCCAACCAATCGGTTATGGAGTCTCTTGGACCCCAACCTGGAAGGCGAGAGACACCTACTCTACCTAATGGCTGTGGGCAGTTCTTCATACCTCGTCTCCACGTCATCTGTTGACCTCCACGTGGTTTCCTCCAGCCCGGATTAGCTACAGCGAATAAAGCGGAGTGCGGCACACGATGGCTGGGCATACGCAATACATGCCCTATCCAGCGAAGTCTACTAATCTAAACTCGATGTGCTGGTAGGTTTATCCCTGATAGACTCCCCAAAACACGGCGGATTACCCCCACGTTACTAACCTGGTCGCTCCATCCCACGTGGGCTAAACTGCATAAACACCGATAATCGAAAACGTCTAGTCGACGGATATCTTCTGCTGGCAAATTCAAGATGTCACAACTATATAGCAGAACTGAACAAACGCTAGCACAATATACACGACTTTTCAACTTCAGTGACACGTCGCGTCTACGCCAAAGGTGTTTCAGTCCTGCTCGAGCCTTGGAAATGTGGGCTGTTATCTCCTTTCCTGCGCTACTGTGATTGGTCCCGCAACTACCTAAGTAGGAAAAGCAAACGAACGTAACTAATTCCTGACCTTTTAGTTTCAGAGCAGGAGTAGGCGAAACCCAATCCTGCAGCATCAGTTTGCAATTTGAAGGTGCGAAGAACATACCGAATGTGGCAACTGCACGTGTTAGTCTATCTAGTGCGCTTTGATCGTCCTCCATACATTCGAACCGACAGACGACGTCATCGGCGTATTCTAAATCACACAGCTTTTCTTCACCTGCCCATTCAATACCTACGTTTTGGAGATCACCTAGTGTGTTCTCCAGTATTTCGTCTACGACGAAATTGAACAGGAACGGCGTAATAGGGCACCCTTGACGAACGCTGCTGCTGGCGACGAATTGTCTACTTAGTTCATCATAGACCCTTACATGACCAGAGTTCTGTGAGTACAGTGACTTCAGTAAGTTAACGTACGTCTGGGACATTCCTTTTCGAAAAAGGGAACCCATCAGAGCTTCGCGATCAACTGAATGGAAGGCTTCTTTCAGGTCAAGGAACACAGGTCGTTGGTCGGCGGTGGGTGTGATGCAGCTCAAGGACGTAAAGTTAAAAAAAATGATCAATACATCCACGGTCAGGCCGGAATCTGGCTTGCTGTTCACGAATGTTAATCAATCTTAAAGGTGTCAGACGAAGTATGACCGAGGCTAGCACTTTGGTGACGATCGAGATCAAACCGATCCCGCGGTGGTTTTCACAATCGTTGCGAGGTCCTTTCTTGACAGTGGGAACAATCAGTGATTCGCTCCAAGATGAAGGAACACTCTCTTACGTCGAAATGTTGCGCAGTAAGGTAGTAATGCAACTTACGGGGTTGTCACCTCCCATTTTGGAAAGAGTGAGAGGGAGCTCATCTGGTCCTGCTGCCTTTCCTCGTTTCAGAGCTTGAATGCAGGACCGAACTTCTGCTTCCGTTGGAGGATCGCAAGACGCTGACCACGGAGCTTCAGTTACGAATGAGGCAACCTGGATAGCGGCGGGCCAGCTGAATTGTTCGCTCAAGTATTCTGCCCAGCGGTCAAGTCGTTGATCCCTGTTATGAATAGCTTGTCCCATCTTATCGCAGACTGTTTCACTAACTGGTATTCGCCGACCTCCGGTGTTGCGTATCAGTCGGAACAGTCTTTGACTATTCCTTGATGCCGCTGCTACTTCCATTTCACTAGCTATTGTTGCCTACCAGTTCTCACGGTCCTTCGTGAGGCTCTTCGTAAGCTAACGTTGTAGTTGCCACCTAACTCTTTTTTGATTTTAGCAGAACGGGACTTGTCGTTTTTCTCCATCAGGGCTACTGACTCCTGAGATATCCAATACCTCTGATGGGCTTGAGGCTCAGACCCACAAGCAATATTCGCTTCGGAATGCATTTCTCGCCTAATCTGATCCCACTGCTCATCTACATCATCAGGTTGCAGCGCACTTAGTCCATGCACCAGCTTTGATTCATAGCGTACCCGAACTGCTGGAACAGAATTGATGATGAGCTATCCGAGTTTGCTGAATTCGTCACCGGCCCGTCAGTCAGAGAGTGAGCTGCATCAAAACTAATGCGTGGTCAGACTCAACGCAGGTGGTCCAATAGGACCTGCAATTTTGCACTGAGCTACGCCAACGGTAGCTTACTGCTATGTGGTCCATTTCAGTTAGTGTACTAGTTGAACAGGAGCGCCACGTTGCCGTCCTTCGAGAGCTGTGTCGGAAGTTGGTGCTAGATGGTAACAGATGATGATCCGCGCAGAAATGAAGAAGTCGATCGGGGTTATCTGTTCGTTGGCAGGGTGGAGCACAACTTCCGCCTAGACAAGCTTCTGATGCACTCAGTTTTCGAACTTGCGCGTTGAAGTCACCTGTAAGTGTCACCGTGTTGGAGCTGCGGCTCAGCCGCATGAGATCAATGAGTTCATCGTAGAAGGCGTCCTTTTGAGCATCAGAACTGCAATTGGTCAGTGCATATGCTGGTAAGATGAACAAACACCTTTTGGCGTTGCTTCCTTTCCGGACGCTGATTGAACCCTGGAGACGAACTGCACATAAACGACTGTTGACGGAGATCCAGTCGACCAGAGATGACTCCACCCTGTTACTGAGTACAATACCCACCCCGCGCTGGCCTACTGAACGGGCTTCATCTTCGCCTGATGTGTGAAGAAAAAATCTCAAAGACAAATCTGGTGCGCTCAAGTGGCTTATATTAGTAGAATCCTGGATTCGAGTTTCCGACACGCAGCAACTATCGATTCCTGAGGATTC